CATGCATGGAACCTTGACAACTCACTGGACAAGTTAGTATTAGATTGGTACTAATAATCAAGGTTTTGAAGAATGATATTATGAATAATGATAATGATGTATTGTTGTATTGTTAGCATTGTTACTGGGGCCATACATGTATCATCTGTCTTTCTTACTGTTTGAACTTAAGTATTGGCAGTAGTTGAATTTGGCAATTTGCAATTGGTGGATTTTACAAGTGTACATGTATACATGTATTAGTGTCATTTGGTGATTTAGTAGCCAAATCCCATTGAGCAGCTCAGAATAAAACAAAATGACATATTTTATATTGCTGGATGTTCACTGCAACCAATATTAATTCCCCATTAATGTACTATAGTATTTAAGCGGAATACTACTAATGAAGGTTGAGGTCTAAGACCTTGAAGAGAGGATGAGCGTTTAAGGAGAGAAAGAGAGATTCACTAGGAACTGTGAGAATGGATTTAATGACTGCCTAAGTCAGACTATATCTTTTAGCAAAAGCAACTATTATGCACATTATAATTGAATAAGTTGCGTGGGTGTCTGCAGGTGTTAACTAATGTTGATATGTACATTGATTGATGTTGTATGAGGACTTGTAAATGTATGCAGAAGTATGTGTCTATAGTACAGAAATTAATAAATAAAATAATTAAATTATAAACACTACAGTACAATTTATATGGTATGATCTTTTTTATATGTCAATTGATATAAAATGATTGTGAAATATTGAAATGACACATACATGTATGTACTTTTGTGTATGTATCGCTTAATTTTCTAAATTTGTCTTGTTTTTCATGTTTAATTATAATTTTATTATTAATTATGTTTATTTTTGTTTTCATTGTTATTTAGAGAGTGTGAGGATACATTTGGATTAGTTAGGTCATCCTGTCCTGTCTCATTTGGTTTATTGAGTAAAGGAGGAGGACTGTCACTAGTACTGCCTGCCTGGGGACTGGTTAAAGAGAGTCCGTCACCTGTTCATAATAATGGAGGAGTGGCTCTGGATGATTTATTGATACTAATTGTAATCATCAATTGACACTCATATTTGTTGCCAGAAAATATTCAAGAAATTGTAAGTGACATACATGTACATGTATGTTTCATTATTTTTTAATCTTTCTTACCTTTTTTAATTTTAATTTTTTCTTTTATTTACATGTATTTATTTATTTTTATTTTATTATTTTCATTTATTTACTTTTAATTTTTAATTTTTATAGTTTTTTTTTTATTTCTTTTTTTAACTTTTTTTATTCTAAGTTTTTATTGAATTTTTTATTATTATT